ATATATATATATATATATATATATATATATATATATATATATATATATATATATATATATATATATATATATATATATATATATATATATATATATATATATATATATATATATTAGGGGGGGCGCCAAACTAAAAGTTCGCCCCGGGCGCCGGGAAGGGTCGCTACGCCTCGGGGGGGGGGGGGGGGGTTAGTGATTTTAAGCAAATATTTTCAATGGCAGCATTGCTACTGTCGAATTCACAAATTATAAATTACTGAAAAGTAGAAAAAAAACAACTAAATAGCGGCATATGATTCGCAGCGGGTCAGCTCGTACTTATATATGAAATTTCATCAACCTAGCTGTAACGGTACTCAAGTTATCGTGTTTACACACACACACACACACACACACACACACACACACACACGCGCGCACACACATAAGACTGCCTACTAGTGTGGTCAAAATTTTAATTAATTACGAAAAACGAATTAGACATCCAACTAAGCCATTTTTAATTTCAGATTGTATTGTCTTCATGTCTTGATCCACATACCAACTTAGAACCGTATCTGTCAGTTAAAAGTGCCCTAATTTTACCTCGGGCGTTTCGATCTAGACAGACTGACGACAGAGACAGTGAGCTAACGTAAAGGTTGTAAACATTGTAAGGTCATTAGACAAAGTAAAAGCATTAACCTTTTATTATAAGAATATTTTTAAAGAAACACATTTTAATATGTATTTTAAAATATTTTTAATATACGTTAAAAAGTCTAAAATCAATGTGTAATTTGATTTAAATGAAGGAAAGCGACAAACTGAAACATTAAATCGGCCTTGTTTTTATTTCAGTAAATGTTTTAGATCTTCACGCGCTTGAAATTTCTCATCTGTTTTTATCCAGTAACCAAAGTAAACATTGCCTGATAATGATATGACGTGTCTCAGCGCTTTTACCTCATAAGCTCATAAAATATACGGCTGTTTATTTGTATTGTTTCTGTAAGTCAAGTACCAATTTTTTATGCAACAGTTTCCTTTGGGATCGGGTAAAGTGTTTGCGATTATAAGGCTTTTTGCAAACTTCCCACTTGCCTTTAACTAGTTTTACTCTCCTGTATATGTTTTCAAATAAGATTAATGTTCCAACGGTCATACACTTTTTTGTTAGCTGTAGTGTCTACTGTCAATAGGTTTGGAAAGCTATTTCCATATGGCTGTTGCCAGAAAGCACATTTTTCAACCAAAATTAAATATCTTACAACATGTGTGAAATAATTGCAAAAAGACTTCCGGTTTTATGAAAGCTAGAAATATTCAAACAAATAGTTACTAGTTATAAAAAAGTAATTTATCTAACACTTTTATTTTCAATGTGGATTCATAGTAGAGTCAGGGTGTTGTGGTGGTTGTAAAACAATTTTCATTTTTACTTTCTCGTATATACGAAGTATAGAGAACGTCTTGTAATCGTGCAAAAAAAAAAAATCGAGATTTTTACAAATCTCGACGTTTTACATCTCACTGATACGGAAAAACATAATTTTGCAATCTTGTCCGTATGTCTGTGTGTCTGTCTGTCTGTGTGTCTGTGTGTGTGTAAACACGATAACTTGAGTACCGTTACAGCTAGGTTGATGAAATTTCATATATAAGTATTTTATCAAAATCGTAGATCCGTATCAGCTTTTGAGCGATTTCCGATAACCGGAAGTGGTACTTTTTCTACTTTGAATTTTTAAAAGCCTATAACTTGAGTACTATTTCAGATAGATAAAAGAAATTTCACATGTACGTAAAAGATCTAATTCTCTACCTTCTGTCAAATTTGAGTAATTTCCGTTGATCGGAAGTACTAATTTACGCTATTTCCGATTTCTCAAAAAACTAATGTAAATTTTTAAAGTACTAATAATATTGCGCACTATTATGCACTTTTTTTATTTGGCGTTCACTTGGTGTGCAATTCTTTTGTCTACGAGATTTTATTCTATTTTTAAAACTTTAAGTATTTAAAATGGATTAAAAATCATGTTTATAGCCCGAGTTCCCATCCCCTGTTATTTTATATAAGAATATTCGAGAAAGTTTTGGGGAGATCACTCCCGGTTTATTTAAACTTATAGTAATAATTAGCCGTCCCGGCCAGGCCATGCACTGGCATCTCTGAAAAACGTATCTGTAAAGGACCATAACTTGTGTGTTTAGTAATCAGCATTTATCCGGCATTGCTCACCCTAACCACAACCAATCAAAACACAAAAAAAACCGCAAACATAACACTTACACAAAACAAACACAAACGAAAACACAAACAAACAAACGCAAAAACAAACCCAACCACAAACATAATTCTCTACCTTCTGTCAAATTTGAGTAATTTCCGTTGATCGGAAGTACTAATTTAGGCTATTTCCGATTTCTCAAAAAACTAATGTAAATTTTTAAAGTACTAATAATATTGCGCACTATTATGCACTTTTTTTATTTGGCGTTCACTTGGTGTGCAATTCTTTTGTCTACGAGATTTTATTCTATTTTTAAAACTTTAAGTATTTAAAATGGATTAAAAATCATGTTTATAGCCCGAGTTCCCATCCCCTGTTATTTTATATAAGAATATTCGAGAAAGTTTTGGGGAGATCACTCCCGGTTTATTTAAACTTATAGTAATAATTAGCCGTCCCGGCCAGGCCATGCACTGGCATCTCTGAAAAACGTATCTGTAAAGGACCATAACTTGTGTGTTTAGTAATCAGCATTTATCCGGCATTGCTCACCCTAACCACAACCAATCAAAACACAAAAAAAACCCGCAAACATAACACTTACACAAAACAAACACAAACGAAAACACAAACAAACAAACGCAAAAACAAACCCAACCACAAACACAAAGAAAACACAAACACTAACGCAAACAAAAAAGCAAATAAAAACAAATCCAAACGCAAACACAAACCCAACCACAACCAAACAAAACTAAAACACACAAAAAAAAAACAACGCAAACATAACACAAACACAAATACAAACACAAACGAAAACACAAACACAAAGAAAACACAAACGCAAAGAACAAAAAAGCAAACGAAAACACAAACGCAAAGAAAAAAAGCAAACTAAAACAAACCCAAACCCAAATCCAAATCCAAACACAACCACAAACGCAAACCCAAACTCAAACACTAAAAAACACAAACGCAAAGATAAACTCAAAGTGTCCACAGTCTAGCCCGTGGCGCCAAATCGCACCATGACGACGTGCGGCGTAATCGCCTGATTCAACTTATTAAACGACTATAGTACCCAACTTATTCATAGTCTTTTGAACTCACTTACGCGAACGTAGGTACCAAAGCGTACACGAGAAGGGGTTGCCAAATAGCACCCTGTCGGGGTGCCGGAGGACGCCCGGATTTGATTCACTTAAATACTATAATAACCTTTCTTATTCATAGTCTATCGCACTGTTTAAAACAAAATTATGCAGCATAGCGCTCACATGATAGCCCAGGGCGCCAAATCGAACCGTGCAGGGGCGCCGGCGGACGCGCCTGTTTCAATTTAGTGAACAAAAATATAATACTCCAAGCTTATCCGTAAATGGAAAAAAATAAACATATAGGATTTGTAGGACCTGGCTTATCAAATGATATTGATTATAAAAAAATTAGTAAACAGTATGTTCAGTGTATAGAGTAAATAAAAGGCAGTATTAAAAATACCAACGACATTGCACTTAATCAATCCACGCTAATTATGTAATTATTTTTTTTCCTAACACCAAAACAAAGTAATAAAAAGTAAATTCTTTCTTTCCCATTTTCAATGGGGGTTTTAAAGGGAAGTAACAGTGTTTTTTTCAAATCAAGGGACGTTATGAGAACTAAAGGACAAAATGCACATACATTTCTGACACAATTTTAGAAATTTTATAAACGTTGATACACTTTCTAAAATTTTTATGTAATGTTCATAATTGAAAATTATTATTCTAAGTATATAAAACGAAAATTGTTTTAAAAGACTTTCAATAGTAATTTTTTAACTCATAAATTTAGACCATTGGCACTATAACAATCTAACACTTATATCCATCGAATTATCCACGACAAACATTTTACAAACACACATTTTACAAACAAACATGCAGAATTGAACTTTATATATTAGATTGTCGGTATGTCCATCAAACAAAATTTAAAAAAATCACCTTTCACAAAATTATTTACATTTAATCTTTTAGCACTCATTAGTCCCTTGATGAATTCGGAAAAAAAACACAATTACTTCCCTTTATAAAAAAAACATTACATCAGGGGAAAAAATACTTTTTATTATTTTGTTTTGGTGTTGGAAAAAAGACTTACATAATTAGCACGGATTGATTAAGTGCACGTGGTAGGTATTTTAAATACTGCCTTTTATTTATTTTATACACTGAACGTACTGTTTAATCATTATTTCTTAACCAAAGAGTCCGGTGACGTAAAAAAAAGACATTTTTATTCGGAAACAAGAATCCCCGCAGGTTATTATTTGTGTCTTTTGTTTTGCGCATTATTTTTTGTCTGTTCTGTTTTACGCACTTTTTTGTCGGTCGCACCAACCATGATGAACGTTGTCTTTTTTACGTCATCATAGTGCGTACCTTTTTTTAAGCAGACTTTTTTAACAGTACATTTAGCAGCGTAAAGTTTTACAACCAAAGAAACAATTGGATAAGAAAGGTTACTATAGTCTTTAAGTGAATCAAATCTGGGCGTCCTCTGGCGCCCAGAGAGGGTGCTGTTTTGCGTCCCGGGCTTTAATAAATATATATATCTTTATATATATATATATATAAATAAATAAATAAATAAATATAGGCCTATATATATATATATATATATATAGGCCCTATATATATATACATATATATATATATATATATATATATATATATATATATATATATATATATATATATATATATATATATATATATATATATATATGTGTGTGTGTGTGTGAATTAAAAATGAACAAATAAATTAAAAAAAAATAGATCAATAAATAAAATAAATATATAATTTATAAATAAATAAATTTATAAATAAATAAATATTAGTGTGTACATTTACTTCTTTTGCACGGTGATATGATTTCTAATCCGATGTTCCACAGTCAATGCTTAAAACAAAAGAAACGTTTGGTTGAAAGATTATTAGGAACTGGTGATTGCTTTTTAAAAACAATTGCATTTTAAAATATTTTAAAAATTGACATTACATAGTGTCTCTATACTATATGCTAGTATTGATTTATTTAACACTCTGAAGCGTTTAAAAAACGTGTCAGGATTTCATGTTTAAATTTCTTTAAAAGGCGGCTCTCTCCTGCGCTGTGCTTGAAGTTAATACAGTGATTTTTATGTTGTCAGAATGTTGTGGACTGTCAGATCACCGTTAATGCACAACATATCTACGTTTTCATTTGCGAGATTCCAGTTGTGAACACTGCCATCGCCAAAGAGAAGCTTGGAAAGAAAGAAAAAAAATTACAACCTCTCTTTTTCACACACACAATCACAATCTTAAACATATATGTATATATACATATACGTACACACACATATCTCTCTCTCTCTCTCTCTCTGTATATATATATATATATATATATATATATATATATATATATATATATATATATATATATATATATATATATATATAAACACATTTGTAAGGAGCCTGCATTTATTATTAAAAATCTTGTTTTTAGCGAAATCTCAAGCCCTGGTCTGAAAATATAACTTTTTTAAAAATATCCATTAGCTTCCATAATTAGAGACAATTTTCAATAACATACTGTTGCGAAATCTTCAAATTCAAGAATACAATGAATTTATCTAGCTAAAGGTAAAAACTAGAGTTAAGCTGTCGATGAGAACAATATAATTAAACCAAAAATACTTGTTAAAAAAAGTATTTAAAAAATCATAAAAAACGTTTTAATAACAATCTTTTATGTACTAATGCACTAAAAAGTAGAAAATAAATTATACACTACTATTTAAATTACTATAAAGAAAAGCATGGGTCTCTTCTCTTCTTTAGTACCTATTGGAAACCTTTACTAATGTTTGAGAAGAGACCCACGCTTTTCTTTATAGTAATTTAAATAGTAGTGTATAATTTATTTTCTACTTTTTAGGGCATTAGTACATAAAAGCTTGTTTTGGCTCTCAATTTTTTAAACGGCATTTTAATTTTCGTGAATATCCATGTTCACACCAAAGTGCTACGAATATTCGTCCGAACGCGGGTACCCATCCGCGCACGACCCCATATTCGCAGCAAAGTGCTACCGACATCCGCTGAAGGAATATTCGCCCCAATGCGGTGACCGCAGTGCGGTAAACTCTGAGGTCATATCCACATCCACACCTTGGCGAAGCACGGGTATAAGCGTTTGTGTTTAGTTTTGTTCTGTTATCAAGTTGGTACATTTAAAAATGATTCACCGTGGCGGAGCACGGGTATGCAGCTAGTATATATATATATATATATATATATATATATATATATATATATATATATATATATATATATATATAATTACCTCATATCTATTTCTGCGTATTGTGATTTGTAACTTAAATTGAACATGCTTTGCAAATGGAAAACGTCCGAGTTTGCGATTGATTTTCCACGAATCACCCAAGGGCTTAGAATCAAAGACTACATGCTTATCCCAATACCAAAACCTAACACTCATATGAAAAGCGACGATTCCATGTTCACAATTTGAATGATTTGCATGTTGATTCCAATTCTTTAGGTTGATTGTAAATCTAATGATTAAAAAAATATCAAGAATTATTAAATGATATGATTAAAAAATCGCTTAGGTATTTTAAAAAAACGGTACAACGCAATACATACAACAAAAACATTTTTTTTTCTTTTCTGCGCCCAGGTAAACCAACAGTCTTAGACAGTAACCTATAATACTATACTATAATATATGATTATTTGGTTCCCAGGAAAAAAGCGCAACATAAAAAAGCGCATAAAAATGTTCGCAACGGAAAAAAGTCTGTATATTTGTTATTTAATAACAAATGCGGCATTATTTTCTAAAATAAATAGAATCATAAATTCCTATGATTTTTCAATTGTAGTTGCTTTTTACCAAATGTGATAAGCCCACAAGTTTTTTGACCACAGCCATGGGTTGTCCACAGATAGTTTGTTCACCGCGGGTGTTGGTCAATAGGGTTAGACCATTGGTGACTTGCTTGACTAAGCCGATTTGTGTTCTAGCTCACTATTACAGAGGTTGATTAACACGCACTCAAGGCTTTCATATAGTACGCCTTAGTGCGTCTTGGCGGCAGTGTGGACAAACCCACGCCCCAAAAACGAATATGTGGGTTAGTTTGTTTAAGCATTACCTAACATTTCATTCGTTTGTCATTCAAATTCGAGAAGCCATTGCTAATACCCCTATGATGGTTTCTGCGAAAAAAAAATCGATTTGGTGACGCTCCGTCAGGGTTCGATTTAGCTCCCGTGAGAACTATGGTACCTTCGTTCGTTTTAATAATTGTGAAACGCTATGAATTCGATAAGCTACTATAATCGCTCACTATACCGAGTGAGGCGCCTTCCTACCTAGGCCCCCCTACATACATACATACATATCTCCCTGCCTACCTACCTACCTATCTACTGACCTGCCTTCGCTGCTGCCTGCCTACCAACTTTCCTACCTGCCGTTATTCCTGCCTAACTGCTTTCCTTCCACCCCGCCTGTCTGCCTACCTCACATCCTACTTACACACATATGTTCGTATTTATATATGTATGTGCTAGTGTGCTCTAGGACTATGTATTTTTACATTTTTGTTGTTAGGTAGAACTATTCAGTATAAAGGGGTTTCCTTTTTTTGACGTTGCCGCTAAAATATTCTTTTTTGTGTGCGTGCATATAATAGTGTAGATTTATTAATAAAAGTACATTTTATTATGTATTTAAGTGTATATAATCATTTTCGTCAAGCCAATGTGTTCATAATCTTAAATTTATAAAAACCTATGAAACTCGATAGCCAAAGAATTAGGATGATAAATAATTTAATAATTGCTATTTAACCAGAAACACGTGTTCTAAGTATTGTAATAGTATTTTTTAAAAATGAACATACAAAGAGATAGATTGTTTTCTTATATAATTGATTTTAAAAGTTAACTGTATTTCACAACACAAATCAACACAAAATACATTCGAATAGAAAATGTCAAGAGAGACTACTCTAATATTTGTAGGATTAATAGTTTTTATTAAGAGTTTTTTATTATTAGAAGAAAAGTTAATTATGTAGGTTCTATAAAAGATTACCTTGCATTAATAAACCGGGAGTGATCTCCCCTAAACTTTCTCGAATATTCTTATATAACTTGGAATATAGACATGATTTTTAATTACTTAAACTTTTAAAAATAGAATAGAATCTCATAGAAAAAGGAATTCCGCACCAAGCGAACGCCAAAAGAAAATGTGCATAATAGTGCGCAATTTAATAAGTACTTTATATATTTACTTACGTTTTTTGAGAAATCGGAAATAGCGTAAATTAGTACTTCCGATCAACGGAAATTACTCAAAATTTGACAGAAGATAGGAAATTAGATCTTTTACTTACATGTGAAATTTCATTTATCAATCTGAAATAGTACTCGAGTTATAGGCTTCTGTAAAATTTTAAGTAGAAAAATTACCACTTCCGTTTATCGGAAATCGCTCAAAAGTTGATACGGATCTACGATTTTGATAAAATACTTATATATGAAATTTCATCAACCTAGATGTAACGGTAGTTAAATTATCGTGTTTACACACACAGACACACAGACACACACACACACACAAAGACACACAGACATACGGACAAGATTGCAAAATTATGTTTTTCCGTATCAGTGAGGTTTAAAACGTCGATTTATAAAAATCTCGATTTTTTTTGCACGATTACAATACTTTCTCTATACTTCGTATATACGAAAAAGAAATAAAATATTTATTCGATAGGTTTAGAATAAGAAATAATTAAAATTATTTATTATATCCATTAGTTTTTTTTTCAAATAATATAGTAAAAAGGCATGTTTTAATTATTTAAAAAATATCTTATTTTAATTAATAAATTATAAACGACGATTAAGGTTCTATATTTTAAAAAATAGTTTAATGACCCTAAATAATTGTATCAATCACTGAGAAATTTAGAATAAATAATTACGTTTAATGCTTTATTAATTAAACGAATTGACTTATTTCCGTTTTGATAAACTCTCTCTCTCTCTCTCTCTCTCTCTCTCTCTCTCTCTCTCTCTTTCTTTATAACTAATAACGCCTTATTATTGAGTTTCTCGAGAGAAATATCCAAGAGAGCGGTAGTTATCATTGACTCATGGATACTTTCTTTGAGTCTTATATAGAAAATAGTGTTTGATCGGCTGGATGCACGGAAAGACAGACAGTCAGATACGCGAGTAGGAGGGTCGGTCGGTCGGCTCGTCGGTCGGTCGACGTCGGTGTAGGTGTGGGTGTAGTCGTAGTCGTGCAAACCAAGTTTGGTCATTTCATCTGTGTTTACGCAGCCCTGGTTTACAAATTAAAGTTTAGAGAAATGAGAATAAAATATATACGTCTATCTTAAGTATACACACATATACACATACATAGACCTACTAAACATGCAAGCATAAATACACACACACACAGTTTTACAGATATATACACACATTGTCACACTCATAATTGATGACAAATCTGTTTGTCATTTTTCTGTGTGAGCATTTTTCTATTTGCGCATTTTACTGTGTATGCAATTTTCTGGTTGCGCATTTTTCTGGTTGCGCATTTTTCTCTTTAAGCATTTTCTGAGTGCGCAAATTTTCTTTTGCACTTTTTTCCGTTGCGCATCTTTCTGGTATATATATATATATATATATATATATATATATATATATATATATATATATATATATATATATATATATATATATATATATATATATATATATATATATATATATAACATATTTATGTTTGTGGTTGTGGAGTTGGGGTAGGGTGGACTTTTCTTGTTCTGTCATTGTGTATATTATTCTATTATGAAAACTGTTTAGCTTAATACATCTAAATAAACTCGATTGATGAAATAATTTATTTAAAAAAAAATTACTTCAATTAAACATACGTTTCTTTCCTCGCATGATATATTGTTAATTTAAAGTTGGTTGTGAAAACGTAAACGTAAACACAAATTAAAATTAGTTCTTTTGTAATTTTAATGCTCAGTAACACGTAAAGTGAAGTAATTTGTAAAGGTTTCAAAATTTAATCACACTTACCCAATCTAAATTAAATCTTAGTATCATATCCATTTGAAACAATAATTACCCTGAAAGTACAAAAACAATAAAATAATCCACCCGTAACGTAACGGACACACGTGAAGAAAAGAAAAAAAAACAACGCAAAATATGCATTGGACTGGAATCCCCAGGGGAAAAGGAGGGTGGGCCGGCCAAGGAAAAAACGGAGGAGAACGGTTGAGGAAGAGGCGAGGACAGCTGGGCTCTCATGGGCACAGATTAGAGGAGCAGCCCAAAACCGAGTCCGCTGGAGATGTGTGGTTGCAGCCCTTTGTTCCCCAGGGGCCACAAAGGAGTGATGATGATGAACGTATCGTAACACTAACGCAGCTTAAGTTACTGTATTAATTACGGCCTAAAACTTATAATTAGTTATAGTAAACCAGGGGTCTCCAAACTACGGCCCGCGGGCCGGATGAGGCCCGCGAGGTCATGTTATCCGGCCCGCGACGATCTTGTTGTTCACTGAATAAATGTTTGTTGGAGGTGGCTGAGGAGCTTTGCATAGAAAATTCAAAACTATTTGAAAATGTAGCTTTGGGTGCAAATACAATTACTCGCTGTGTTGCAAACATTGGTGAAAACATAGTGACTCTAATAGCGAAAAATTCAAGTAAGTTCAGCCATTTTTCAATTGCAATGGATGATTCGCTGGGCAGCTGTTCCACCTCTCAACTTCGTGTGTTCATTATAGGTGTGGATGAAGACCTAAACATAACACAAGAGCTGGCTTCCCTACATATAACGTATGACACTGTTACCGGAGAGGATATTTAAACATAGATAGTTCAGAGACAAACACAAAAACGCAAGATTTACCATATTTCACATAAGTAAGATTGCTAATTTTGCGAGAAAAATCTGAGCAGAGTATTTAAGAAAAGAAATAGGTGCCTTCCTGATAGTAAAGGCAAGTCACAGCCATTTGTGTCTGATGAAGAGTGGGTATAGAAATTGATCTCTGTGCTGCAGACATAACTAGTCATTTAAATTTTCTGAACCTAAAACGGCAAGAGAGTGAAATCTAGTTTCTGATCTGTACACCCACATAAAGGCCTTTAGATACAAACTTGTCATGTTTTTGGAACAAGTACAGGCTAACAACTTGACACACTTTCAGCAGTGCAAGGTCTTTACGGCTGAAACAACCACTGAGTTCCCCACGTCATTTACATACGAGATCATTAAAGACCTCCAGCTGCAGTTTCAGTAGCTGTTTTCTGACTTGGATTCATAGGCAGAAGAAGTGAGACTGTTTCAAAGCCCATTTGAAACAAAAGTGGCCAGTTGCAAAGATGAACTGCAGCTGGAGGTCATTGAATTGCAAGAAAATGACTTCCTTAGAGATACTTGAAATGTGTATATATTTCTATATAAATTATATTTCGTTGGGAGGGGGGGGGGGGCG